GTCCGGGGGGTGGGGAGGGGGCCGCTGCGTCACACCGGGCGGCCTGGGAACCCAGCTGTTGGGCAACTGCGGTCGCCTCCCGCCGCCTCCTGCGCTTAGGCAACTGGCTCCCTGGGCCGCTCGGGGGCCTAACGCTCGGTGTGGGCGGGGCAGCACCTGAGACGGCGGAGAGAAAATAGAGACCGAGTTGTTGACATCCTGGGCCGCCCGAGCCCGATTCAGGAAACAAAACAAAAACCCCCAAACTTGACAACCTTTCTAGGTTCCTGCCCCGGAGGGCGGGGTGGAGGGTGCGGTTCAGAATCACAACCAAAAAAAAAAAGCAATTTGACGGACGTTAGTAACTGTCTCGGTTGAACGTCCTGCAATTTAGTTGGCGGTTTCTTTCCTAACTGTAACTGCGGGCCTCGGAGGCAGTCCTTGAGAGGTGTCGTAGGAAGCTTTTCGAGCGCGGTAGCGCCCTGATTCCCTCTTGGAAAGTTTTTTTTTTTTTTTTTTTAAATAAAAAAACCCTTCTACACTGCATTATTTTTCTGGTCCGCGTCAATCTTGAGTCACTCGAAGTGACTAATTTTTGAAATTTTCTGATCCCATCCTTCAGTTATTTGATTTGATGTAAAGGCCCGCCTTCCAAGTCAGATGAGTTTCAATGTGGTATCTGCATTCCCAAAGTAATTTTTTTAACGTGTGGGAAATAGTCAAGTTTTAGAAACAGTTTGGTTCAAAGCCTTCAAAAAGATCTCAAAAAGTAACTCCAAATATGTGTACATTATAGGGAAGGGTAGGGAGAGGCAAACAGGTACACATGGTCTACTAAAAAAAAAATGTATGTCTGATCAACAAATAGACGAAATGAAACACTGCTATACTTTGCAAAATGATTTGTGTTCAGCCTCTTGTTTTTTTCCTTTCGCCCCAGTTTTCAAATAGCTGTAGTGCTGGGTTGTGAGGAATAACTCCATCTCTGAAGTAGGAATTGAGTGCTAATTTTTAGTATGTTTTTAAAATGTGATTAAGGTGCCTTAATGGTAGGAACTTCCTGTACCTCCTACTGATTTCTTTCTCAGATTACTAGAGTGGTAAGTAAAAAAAAACAAAACAAACAAAAAAAACCTCCAAAAGCAGTAACCATGGCTGATAAAGAATTTTGTAATCAGAAGTTTTAATTAGATATTCTTCAAATACAGCTGTACTACACTTTTATCATTACGGTATGGATGTAATGTATATGTTTTCTCAAAACACGTCAAACCTTTTTAAACTACCAATTTTCCATTTGGATGTGATATGCTGCATATATACATATGTGATGCTTGGAGATTTATATAGCTGCTGAAATCCCAATATACTTTATGACTCTACAGAATTTTATTTTTTTTATTTTTCCCTTTTTATTGAATTTATTGGGGTGACACTGGTACACAATTTTAGAATGACTGTTAACAATGAGGAGAAAGACAAGGTAAGTGAAAAATTGGAACAATTTTTTAACCATTTGTTATCTGCACAGTTAAATTCTCAGTTTCACTTTGTTTGTATACACTATCTTTATCTCAACCTCTTGGTATAAAAACAATTAAAAACCTGTTGATAATCTCAGCACATGACTTTTAAAAATCCCTGAAAGTTAACATCAATCAGGAGGTCTTTATTACTATCTCATTTTCCATATGATAAATTTTATATTCTTTAAAAGGAATATTACTTGTACAGACTCATGGACAGTACTTTGTGGGTCTTTAATTCTGGTATCCTCTACTAGGACTAGCTACCAGTGGGTAGGTACTTTTAGGTGGAGGTAGATTGAAAACAGCTTATCCATAATTGTGAGATTTGTAACATAAAGACAATGATAACTCTGCTTTTCTGTTAATGTTTAGATGCCAAGATAGGATTTTAATTCCATATTTATGTCCTTGTGGCCTAGGGGATTTTGCATATAAGAAACTCCTAAAACAATCAGTATTAAAATACCCTAAAATCTCAACCTACGATGTCATCCCCAGGTCCTTGCCAAACAGGATGAGCTTTCCAAATATGATACTTAAATTTACAAAGTCCTCTATTAATAGAACCCATAAAATTCCAAGTCACCTTATAGTGAAAATGTGTTGTACATTTTCTTTTTTAATCATAAAATTTATAGGAGCTCTAGTTCTCAGTGTTGTGCAGGGGGCAGGAGTCAGTCATCTAAGAAATTTTTTCCTAACTACACATGCCTGACACTTTGATTCTTCCCCTCTTCTGATATGCAGAATTTCTAGGTTCTGGGTAGTGTTTGGAAAAATTTCCTAGATTTTTCTGATATCCACCAACAGGTTATCTACCTTGTTTATGGCCATTGTATTTGTGGATTTTTAATAATAAGTGAATCACCAGAAGTTAAATTTCAAATGGAAAGTTATTACAGATGATACTAACAGGCAACTATGTATAAAACCTAATAGGCATTTAAATGGATACAAAGATTCTACTTTCTGTACTTACAAAATTAACTGTGCACACAGAGTAAGAAAAAAGTTACGTAGCTAACCTCAAAATATCAAGTTGATACATCGATGCTGTATCATTCTTTCTTCAAATCCTTTATTTACTGTCCATCTTCCTTCATCTATGTAGCCTTCAGCTTTTATTCTCAATCCCCACTGTTTTATTTAGGCCTTATTTTCTCTACATCTTTC